GACAAGCAGAACCGAAACTAACATTTCTAAACTAACAATGGCGGACACGGACAATTTGCGAATGAGTTCTGCCTTTTGTAAACTGAGTTTATCAATAATTTGTCAATAAATGAGGGCTAAAAACGTCACTTGTCCGCCGGACAAGTCAATTGAAAGATCTACTTGTCCGACATTGTAAATAACACGTCCCGGACGGTGGGACGTGTGCTTTTTCGCACACTGGGGAGTACAAATAATGCCACTGAAAAATGTATTCAGCATCCTCATTAACCCCCCAAAACCACTCAAATTGTCCACTATTTTCTACATAGGCTATAATACCATTAAAGCTAATTAACAAAACTTATGCTAATTGTGCAAATTGCCCAGCAAATGCACGTTAGCATCCGACAGTTTCTATGCGCTGGGACCCGTACGTTACATTTCTATCATAACCCTTTGGGATACTCAACATTTCTGGGTTCACTATGCTGGCAACTACACTACATCTGGATGATACTAGGGACGCTCCGATCGCCGGAATCAGTATCGGCCAATACCGATCGCCAATCCGATCGAGTGGGCGGGGCCTATGGGGATCTTCAATTTAAAGTGGACCTATCATGCTATATTTGAATAATATAGTGTAGGACCATACCTATATAAGGCATATTTATACTTTTTTCCCCCTCAAAATACCAAACAGATCATGCATTTTAGCCATGCCTCATTTTGCTCAATTTGACATTTTTTAGATCTGTTTTAGCAAGGGTTGATTCTGTGAGCAACAGCACCATCTAGAGGCCTGGCATATGTACTACAACGTCTCCAGCGCTTTCGAACGGCAATGCCGTGGTTGTCTCCTCCTGATTGGTGGAGTTGGCCCAATAGCCGTAGCGCCACTGTCCTGACGTCAGGACAGTGTTCAAATCTGGATCAGTTTTTATCAGATCCGTTGCAGCCCCTTTTTTAGAGATTTGGGTATGGAGGAAAATAGAGAGGGTTGTGTTTTCTGACACTTGGTGAGTTCCCTGGAACACCGGGGACACATATTCATGTATAAACGTACAAAGGTGCATTTTGCATGATAGGTCTCCTTTAAAGTGATGTTTAAAACTCAGTTAATGGGGCTCATTCACTGGCGATTCCAAACAACAACCAACATAATTATTACATTCAAATGAATTACATTATTCAAGTTTACATTAACTTTGGATAATAACACGGGAGAAATGACGGAAGCGCTCACTTTTCCTCTCTCCCCCTCTCTCTCCTGACAGCCTGTCAGTATCGTCTCATGCAGCTCACTGATCCAGTAATGAGTGACCCGACAGTGAAGAATAAATATATTTATAACTAGTTTAGCTTGTTCCAGAGGTAGATAAAATAGCTAAGTGTGTAAGGTCTAACTCGTGTGTTTTGCTCCGCTCACCGGTCCGTCACCGCTATTTTATTGTCATTTTCGGACACCTTCAAATACTGCCAGACTGGTGAAGCCATTTTGGCGAGCTTGTTTTGACGAGCACAAGAACACACAAGAGTTAGACCTTGTCATGTATTTTACGTCATGCGATCGGCTCTGGCGATCGGCATTTTTAGAGAGCACCGATCGATCGGCAGAGAGTGAGTATCGGCCGATATCGATCGGAGCATCCCTAGATGATACCATACATAAGCACGTATAAAACGGACATTAAAACAGACATACTTTGACTTTGTCTTGGGTTTGCTTTAGCTGGAGCACAAGCAGGCAGGTGATCTTGCTCCTCTCCTCTGTCAGCTGAGCTTCAGCCTGAGCCTCCAGCAGCTTCAGACCTCCCAACAGACTGTCCTGCTCGTCCACGATGCCCTGCAGGGGGGTGGGTAAGAGGACGTTAGAAAGACAAGGTATTTGCACTTTCCTTGAGTATTTAAGAGAAGAGAGAGATCGCTCTTATGGAGTGAAGAGAGCGAAAAATAAGGATATTGCAATTAGAAACGGAGATGGTTCGATAAAATGTGCAAGAAAACGTTTAAGCTACAGTAATAAATATGAAATACATTATATATATTTTTAATTTCTCCAGCACCGATAACAAAACCGATAGCGTTGGAGCTTATCGATACCACAGTCTTTAAAAATGTAGCCCAAGGGCCGTTTTGATACCATCTCTAACAATCGTTGTTTTTTTTAAGTCCTGAACAAACATGATATGTGAATGTAAAACAATACCTTCAGAGTCATCTTCCTCCCGTGTACAAGCTCAGATAAATATACCAGGTTGGTGCTCAGGATGCTGTCCATCAGGAAGAAGTTCATTGGCTTGGAGAAAAGTGACTGCAGCTTCTCCTTGAAGCACTCCCTGTCAGTGTTATCAGTAGACAGCTCACTGGGGTAAGAAGCGATGCAGGCCCAGAGCTTCCCCAAAATGCTGGACATTTTCTACAAAACCAAAAGAGTTATCATGAAGTTTCAGTACAGTGATGTTGGAGAAATGGAAACATATTGAGGAATAGAAAGCAACCACTATGAAACAACAGTTAAGGCGAGACATGGCAGGCAAAAACATCGTTTTTCATGCACTGGTCAATTTTGAGATTTTGTGCTATTTTGATTCCATAACATGTTTTCTTTCAGGCGTTTGGAAGGAAAACGTACAAAATACACATTTAGATGTTTATTTTACTATAGTTTGTCTATTTGCATCTGTAGATTTTTCCTAAATTCACCAAAAGTTAGCATTCTAACGTAACATAAAGTAATCAGAGGTATCGTTGGAAAGCTCCGTCTCTCCTGCACAATCTCATCGGATCCAAATATGGTCATTTCCTTTGTATCAGCAACCAATCGTGAAAGTACAAAGGGGTCTTAAACCAAAAAACGAAATCTCATTGGCTGGTGTCAATTTCTGACAACGTGATTCGTTCAGATGCGCCACGTGGTGTGCTAAAACACTTCCTGGTTTAGCTTTCCGCTGGAAATTTAAATCTCAAAATGGCAAAAGAACAGCAAAAAAAACGTTCACAGAGAAGACGACAAGTGTCACTTGCACGAAGCAATGTTAGACAAAAAACAAATGACCCTGACCATGAAATATCTTCACGGAGTGCGTCGAGGCGCAAGCTGTCATCCAAAGAACAGGAGGGTTTAGGTAGCGCCACACAGCAATCTTTAAAGGTCGTTTTCTCAAAATGAGTTTTTTCTCCTATTCTGAGTGAGACATTTCCACTTCAGTAGCACGTACATACACCAAACCTTCCAGTTATATTCCTATCAATATTCTGAAGATTTTTACAGAAGGGTTTGTTCATATATCATTCATAGCCTGAATTATATAACATTTTATACCTAAAAACATGGCGAAAATTGATATTTTAGAGTTGTTGACAGTATTTTCTGATTTATGGAGTGATAAAAAGAGATATCCAAAATTCCTTCTGTAAAAGCCTTAGATACTAATATGACTACAAAAATGAAACAAGAATTTTGAACCTGGCTTTATCCAATGTTCAGATTTGTGTTCCTGAAATGTGTTAAAATATGCGCATATTTAATGAGATTATGGGTCATTTGCATATTTAAACATGCTATTTCATAAAACTTGTAATACAAAAAACAATTGTCTTAATGTAAGTAATTAACTGGAGACATTTCTGGCTGATATCTTTAAGTTAAAAAAAGTAACCTATTCACCTGTAGTGTCTCGCCTTAACAGATTTGAAACCGAAGTTTTGGAGACAGCTAGTGCTCATTTTCATGATTCAAAATGCACGGGACAAAGATAATTAGCAAAATGTCTTATTTGGACTGGATATATTTCTCCAGGGGTGATTTATCTTTGTTCCTATTTTTAACGTTATAGGAGTTACAGGTTGGAGTTTATTCTATGAGCCTCTATTTTAGCTCTATGTCTAATTATAATAAAAACATATCAGTGTTTCCCCTACCATTGTCTGAAATTCAAGGTGTTTTTTTTGTTTTTTTGAATAAAAAAAAAATATATATAGCACCAAATTGCAAC